TATTATTAGAATTATTATTATTATCATTATTATTATTATATATATTCTTCTTCTTCTTATTATTATTATATGAGAATTATTATTATTATTATTATTATATATTCTTGTTATTATATTAGAATTATTATTATTATTATTATTATTATTATTATTATTATACATATTCTCTTTCTTATTATTGTATTACAATTATTATTATTATTATTATTATTATTATTATTATTATTATTATTATATTAGAATCATTATTATTATATATTCTTCTTATTATTTTTCAGAATCGCCTGCCGGAATAGTATTGTTTCGGTAGGGTCATAACATCACTGATGAGGTGTTCCTGAGCACTCGTTGGAGTGTTTTCATGTCATATCTTATTATTATTATATTAAAATTATTATTATTATTATTTACAATTATTATTATTATATAAGAGTTATTATTATTATTATATATTCTTCTTCTTCTTATTATTATTATTATTATAGTACAATTATTATTATTATTATATATATTCTTATTATTATTATATTACAATTATTACTATATATATATATAATAATAATAATAATAGAAATATTATTATTATATATATTCTTCTTATTATTATATTATTATCATTATTATTATTATTACTATTATATATATATATATATACTATTTATACATATTATTATATGTTAAGAAATGGACAAGGTCCGACAATTTATTTATTAAAGACATTTTTATGTTTAACGTTGTTATTTTAATTGTCAGATTTCTTAACATATGACGTCATTTGTTTACATTTGATACGCCAGAGCAGTTATGAATGTACGAGATTCATGGAAGATTGGAGTTTATAAGCAGTAAATTCGACCTTGTCTACTGATTGGTTCTTTGTAGCCTAGCGGTAAGGCACGTCAGCGTATATGACGGTTCCGTATAGGATGCAAGTTCGAATCCTGTCAAAGAACGAATATTTTCTATGAAAATTTCTCGGACATTCAGGCCGGTAAATGTTATTTAATACTGTTTATCATAAACAGAGCATTTGCTTAAATACTTGTATCTATAAAATAACAACGTTAAACATAAAAATGTCTTTAATAAATAAATTGTCGGGCCTTGTCCATTTCTTAATATATGACGTCATTTGTTTACATTCGATACGCCAGAGCAGTTATGAATGTACGAGATTCATGGAAGATTGGAGTTTATAAGCAGTAAATTCGACCATGTCTACCGATTGGTTCTTTGTAGCCTAGCGGTAAGGCACGTCAGCGTATATGACGGTTCCGTATAGGATGCAAGTTCGAATCCTGTCAAAGAACGAATATTTTCTATGAAAATTTCTCGGACATTCAGGCCGGTAAATGTTATTTAATACTGTTTATCATAAACAGAGCATTTGCTTAAATACTTGTATCTATAAAATAACAACGTTAAACATAAAAAATGTCTTTAATAAATAAATTGTCGGGCCTTGTCCATTTCTTAATATATGACGTCATTTGTTTACATTCGATACGCCAGAGCAGTTATGAATGTACGAGATTCATGGAAAGTTGGAGTTTATAAGCAGTAAATTCGACCATGTCTACCGATTGGTTCTTTGTAGCCTAGCGGTAAGGCACGTCAGCGTATATGACGGTTCCGTATAGGATGCAAGTTCGAATCCTGTCAAAGAACGAATATTTTCTATGAAAATTTCTCGGACATTCAGGCCGGTAAATGTTATTTAATACTGTTTATCATAAACAGAGCATTTGCTTAAATACTTGTATCTATAAAATAACAACGTTAAACATAAAAAATGTCTTTAATAAATAAATTGTCGGGCCTTGTCCATTTCTTAATATATGACGTCATTTGTTTACATTCGATACGCCAGAGCAGTTATGAATGTACGAGATTCATGGAAGATTGGAGTTTATAAGCAGTAAATTCGACCATGTCTACCGATTGGTTCTTTGTAGCCTAGCGGTAAGGCACGTCAGCGTATATGACGGTTCCGTATAGGATGCAAGTTCGAATCCTGTCAAAGAACGAATATTTTCAATGAAAATTTCTCGGACATTCAGGCCGGTAAATGTTATTTAATACTGTTTATCATAAACAGAGCATTTGCTTAAATACTTGTATCTATAAAATAACAACGTTAAACATAAAAATGTCTTTAATACATATTATTATATATATTCTTATTATTATATTACAGTTATTATTATATATAATATTTATATATATTATTATATTATATTTATTATTATATATTTTCTTCTTATTATTATTATATTAGAATTGTTATTATTATTATTATTATTATTATTATCAGAATTCCACAGGTGAGAAGTGTGAGGAATGAAACTATTAGTATAAAGCTTATGACTACATCTAGCTAATTAAACAACAAATGATCACACCTAGTAACCAATCTAGTAGTACCCTTAAATTTGTGCAGTCAGTGTACCTGCTCATTAGAAAAAATGCCAGGAAAATACAGAAGAGACAGGTGTGGGACAGTAACTGAAACTGAGATTCCACATTACAGAAACTTCTTTAGATTTTGTCTAGAGTCTCACGATAGATAGCCAGGGCCCAAGAGCGGACATGGCAGCAACAATTAATGCACGGGCGACTGGTAGATTTATAAATGTGCAAGATTGAAAAAATTGTCTGGCATGAAACAGTGAATCACCCTCCTTAGCAGCAATATGATCACTTCATGTCAGTAGGAAACGTGAGCCCAAGAAAGCGCAATATCTTGCTCTCCGGGTGGTTAGCATCAGCCATACTGATGGAGATCAAAAATGGTTCCCCAAGATGATTAAAGAAACAAAAAAATATTTTAAAAAATATTGCAAAATATTTAAAAAAAAAACGTTTTAGTGGACGTTGAAAATACAAACAAATTAAACAAATATCACACTAAAAATGGGTAACACTTAAATAAACTTCAAATTTTCAACTTGTTTTATTTAAATAATTATACTATAACTTTGTTGCATTTAATGGGTGCATTTCATGTTAATACAAGAAAATTTTCCCGCTTATTTATTATTAAATAACTGTATTTGCCATGTTTTTCTGAATTCATCTTAGTGGTCTGACAAACTTAAAATTATACATTTAGTGGTCCATGAAGTTCAAAAGGTTGACGACCGCTGCTTTAGCCTGTTCAGCCACAAGACACTTCTCGAGAAAGCAAGATGCAATTGATTTTTTTTCAAAGAAATATGCATCTGTCCTTAAAATCTTTTCAAGCTGACATCTGCTAACTTTTACTTTTCTGTCTGAAACATAAACAAAGTAATTATTAAGGTATTAATGGATTTTACTTAAAGTCTAGCATCTTCTTTTCGTAAATGTCATAGATACACCAGACATATCCACACTCTTTCCTATGAGCAAAGCAAATTTTAACACACATATATATATATATATATATATATATATATATATATATATATATATATATATGCATTGAAAAGAATTATGTTGTTGTTCTTTATGCCTGATGCTACTCAAATTTTCATGCTCATGTCAATCATCAGGCATAAACATTTTTTAAGTAATCTTCAGAGAATGTCGAATAGAATACAATGCTTGATTAGATATCTATCTACTTATCTGTTCATACCTATGCATATATCAATCTCTCTATCTGCTCATATCCATCTATCTAATATGGCTCATGCGGTGAATTCTCTTATTCTTTGAAGGTTACTGAGTGTAATTGAATGCAAAAGTCAACTGGTAAATACAGCAGCAAACATCTATCTATCTATCTATCTATCTATCTATCTATTTGCCTGTCTGTCTCTGTTTGTATCTATCAAATATAAATATATAATGAAATGGATAAAGTCTGACAATTATTTTAAGACCTTTTTTATGTTTATACATTCTTTTTATAGATACAAATATTTAAGTAAATGCTCTGTTTTATAATAAACAGTATTAACGACATTTACCGGCCTGAATGTCCGAGAAATTGTCATAGAAAATATGCGTCCTCTGACAGGAATCAAACCTGCATTGTATACAGAACCATCATATAGCCTGACGTGTTTTACCGATTTCGCCACAGAGAAGCATTTCAGTTAGCAAGGTTGATTTTACTGCTTTTAAACTACAATTCTCCATGATTTTCTCTTGTACATTCATATCTGCTCAATGCATATCCAAATGTAAACAAATGACATCACACATTATGAAATGGAGAAAGTCTGACAATTATTTTAAGACATTTTTGTGTTTATGTGTATCTATAAAAAAGAATGTATAAACATAAAAAGGTCTTTAAATAATTGTCGAGGTTTCCTTCCCAACCTTTTATTCGAAGTTGTGTGAAATGTCAACATCTTAAGCTGTTATTTTCTCTTTATGTGCTATCCATTTTAGTTGTTGCCGCTCTTGGTAGTTTTCAAGTGTTGTGGTTTGTTTTATCTATCAAGGTTCTTTTGTTTCTGATTCTGTAGCACCAGTCCACAATGTCCGAAAAAGAATGCTATTTGCCAAGACTGACAGGCTTCACTTGCTGAAGGTCATTTTTAGAAAGTAGCTGTACACAGCTGACAGCTTAGATATTTCTAACTGGATTTGCAAAGTGTAACAGAATAAGAAAAAGAAAAACATTATTAAGGAGCAGGAAAAATAAAAGCAGAGGAATCAAGAAAAAAGATTTTAAGGACAGATGCATATTTCTTTGATAACTGCACCTGAATTTTTGAATTCATCTAATTCAGTTCCTCTTCCTGAATTGTTACAAGGAACTGACCATAGTTCCAGTATCTTTAAAATGGATCATACGTATAATATCCACTTGAGGTCTGGAGCAAACTTTTAGATCCAATAGACATACAAAGTATGGAGGCATGTTCATTGTGCCTGGAGAAAACTCAGTGCCTGACGAGCGATGATGAAAGAGTATTAGCTTGGGTTTTGAGGCACTTTATGTTACAAACTAGATGGAGAAATATATAGGAAGATAGATAGACAGACAAACAGATATGAATAGGCTAAGTTAGATAGATAGATAGATAGATAGATAGATAGATAGATAGGAGTAGAATGATAGCTATAAGCAGAAATAGATAGATATATAGATAGATAGATATATAGATAGATAGATAGCTATAAGCAGAAATAGATAGATATGAAGACGATAGATAGATAGATAGATAGATAGATAGATAGATAGATAGATAGATAGATAGATAGATAGATAGGAGTAGAATGATAGCTATAAGCAGAAATAGATAGATATGAAGACGATAGATAGATAGATAGATAGATATGAACAGAGATAGATATGAACAGACAGAGATAGATATGAACAGAGATAGATAGATAGATAGATACATATGAATAGACAGATAGATAGATATGAACAGACTGAGATAGATAGATAGATAGATAGATAGATAGATAGATAGATAGATAGATATGAACAGAGATAAATATGAACAGACAGAGATAGATATGAACAGAGATAGATAGATAGATACATATGAATAGACATAGATAGATAGATACATATGAACAGACTGATATAGATAGATACATATGAACAGACTGAGATAGATTGATAGACAGATAGATAGATAGATAGATAGATAGATAGATAGATAGACAGATAGCAGTGGTAAAAGGTGACTTGAATCCAGGACATGCATTTTGCAAATATTTTGTCATATACAGCCTACCGTAATATTTTGTCACTTACTGTTTGTTGTAAATTTGACGTAAAATATATGTTAAAATTATTAATTTTCACTTTCCCAGTCATCAATCAATGCCATTTTCTGACACCTGTCATCAAGTGATAAAGAATTTATTTAAAAATTTTTTACAAATTAAAATGAAAATGTCTACATCTTATTAACAAAGAAACTGTTAATTTGATGTATCGTGAACAAGATTAAATCAAAATTATTTATTTTTTTCTTAAAAAGCAGTGAAAAACAACATTTTTTTGTGAGGTGGGTGGGTCATTTCCTTATACAGCCGTTGAAGTCGCAAGTAGGTTTTATACGTGTTAACAAGCAGATGGTAAGTGACAAAATATTATGGTAGGCTGTACATAACAAAATATTCACAACTACATGCCTTTGCCACTTATAGATAAGTACATAAATCGATATACAGGTATGTATGTATGTATGTATAGATAGATAGATAGATAGATAGATAGATAGATAGATAGATAGATAGATAGATAGATGGATAGATAGATAGATAGATAGATAGATAGATAGATAGATAGATAGATAGATAGATAGATAGATAAATAGATAGATAGATAGATAGATAGATAGATGGATAGATAGATAGATAGATAGATAGATAGATAGATAGATAAAAATTCACAGATAGATAGATAGGTAGATAGATAGATAGATAGGAAAATTCACAGATAAATAGATAGACAGACAGACAGATAGATAGATAGATAGATAGATAGATAGATAGATAGATAGATAGGAAAATTCACAGATAAATAGATAGATAGACAGACAGATAGGTATGTACAGATAGATAGATAGATAGATAGATATGTACAGAGAGATAGATAGACATAAAAGTCACAGATATATAGCTAGCTAGCTAGCTAGATAGATAGATAATGAACATACTGAAAATATATATATATATATATATATATATATATATATATATATATATATAGAGAGAGAGAGAGAGAGAGAGATGTTCAGAGTATGGATCCTTGTTGACTAACTTCCAAGATATGAGTATAAATTGATATTAGATTATGTAACTTCCTCCTCACAAAAAAGCTAGCCCTATCAAAAATAAATTCTTTTTAATTTTGATACTCTGTTCAACATTTAGACAACAATTGCACCTCTAGTGATTACCATCCATCCATCTATCTATCTATCTATCTATCTATCTATCTATCTATCTATCTATCTATCTATCTATGTCTCAAGGTCTCCTTTTCATGAAAAATAACTCACTTCAAGGTTAAATTGTTAAAAATTTCATTTTATTTCTCTTTTCAAGCATTTACCCTGTTATTTCACAAATACTCCAGACAATTAACTGAAATTTCCTGACAGACGTTGGCTCTTATTCTCTCCTCCCAGAGACACTCAGCCCAAACACCTCTCACTTAATGATGGTAAATGACATATAACTTGAGAATATAGTTGGAGCATCCTACAATTGGGTGATTGTATTCAACTCAGCAAGGGATGAGACAGATAATCGGTTGCAACTTGGTGTCAGTTTGGTATGACTATTCTTTTTTGGAGGTGGGCACAGATGAGATTGGGCTTTTTTGGGTTTTTTTCTTTTCTTTAATTTTCAGATAAACATTAAATCATTGAAAAGAAGAATTCGACACGACTCAGATGATAGATATTAATGTTACCGAACATAGGAACTTAAAAATATCTTCCATAATTAGAAGCCCAACAAGAAAAAAAGACTTACCCTATACATTACTGAGATGTACATTGTTTACATTATTTGGACTATTGTCCTCATCTTTGTTGCCATATTTATTACAATGTTTCAGCTGTTGTATGCTCAAGCCTTCTTCAGGTGGTTGGAATGTTGAACTGAAACCTTTATTTCACTGACTGGAGTAGACTCACAATCTTTGGGACCTGTCATTGGATCTAACCAAAGCCTTTATCCACTGTACCATGTGTCCTTGAGGACATCTGCATATAAATTTCTGGGTATTATAAACCTGAAGGAAGCCAGAACGTACAACGGCCAAAGTGTTGTAATAATAAATATGGCATCAAAGATGAGGACAATAGTCTGAATAATGTAAATAGTGTACATAATACTTCATCTCAGAAATATAGACAGATACTGAAGGATCGGATAAATATGGCAACAAAGATGAGGACAATAGTCCGAATAATGTAAATAGTGTACATAATACCTCATCTCAGAAATATAGACAGATACTGAAGGATTGAATAAATATGGCTACAAAGATGAGGACAATAGTCCGAATAATGTAAATAGTGTACATAATATCTCATCTCAGAAGTATAGACAGATACTGAAGGATTGGATAAATATGGCAACAGAGATGAGGACAATAGTCCGAATAATAATACCTCATCTCCGAAATATAGACAGATACTGAAGGATCGGATAAATATAGCAACAAAGATGAGGACAATAGTCTGAATAATGTAAATAGTGTACATAATACCTCATCTCAGAAATATAGACAGATACTGAAGGATCGGATAAATATGGTGACAAAGATGAGGACAATAGTCCGAATAATGTAAATAGTGTACATAATACCTCATCTCAGAAATATAGACAGATACTGAAGGATTGGATAAATATGGCTACAAAGATGAGGACAATAGTCGTAAAGTCGTTTACAATGCTTTCTCATCAGTGGCATTCCATTATTAAAATTAGTGGAGGTGCTGCTTTAAAAAAATTTTAGCCATTGTTTTAATATTGTGTAAAACGAAACAAATACATAAAAAAAGGATAATTTATACATAAACTCGATAAAAACCTAAACGAAAAACTTATTTTTTACTTACTTATAAATTGATAAAATCCGAAACGAATATATCTTTTGTTGTCGGCCGAGATATTTGGATATCAGATGTTGAACGGACTCTTTCTTCTTAACTGTAACTTTGTCAGCTTCGAAAACTTAAGCTGTTGAAGTTCAATTGCAATCTTTTTTTTCTTTTTATGTACCGCGTCTCTTCAGGACGTAGGCGATCATGGCTCTCCACTTCCTCCTATCCTTTGTAGCTCTCAATAAGTTTTGTCCCTTTGCTTCCTACCCCAGAGCACGTTCTGTCATCCACTTGCTCAAGCCCGTCAGATATGTCACGTATTGCTTTTACTTGTCTCTTTTTCGCTCTATTTGATCTGTGAGTATCAGATTCTCCAGGCCCACCCTTCTCATTACGTGTCCCAGAAACTTCAGCTGCCTGTTCTTGATGTCAAGTATAAGCTTCCTCTTTGTTTGCATCCTCTCCAAAACGACATGTTTGCTCACACGCTCGGTCAATGATATCTTTAGCATACTTCTTCTGCCTTGAGTTTCTTCTTCATCTTTGACGAGACCGTCCAATATTCGCTTCCGTAAAGGAGGACAGATGTCACGTAGCAGTTCAGTACTCTTTTCTTTGTTACCAAAGAAATCCTCCTGTCTTGTAATACTCTGCCCAGCTTATGGAATGCGTCTTTGGCCATACGTCTTCGGGTCTCAGCATCACTCTTACCATCCCCCCGTCAAAACACTTCCCAGATATTTAAACTTCCACAACTGCTTGATTCTAGTGTTCCCGACCTGTAAATCTCATTTTGAGTTCATCCTTTTACCTATGAACATGCATATAGTCTTCTTTTAATCTATGCTTAGTCCCTTCTTCTCACTATCTTTCACTACTTTCTGTAGTTTCAGTATTTGCTAAAAACATGAAGTAAGGCAGATTATAAATGATATATACGCGTATATGACAAAAAAATTTATATTTACAAATTAACCTAACTGGTCTGAAAATTAAAATTAAAATAAAAATTAAATAATTAACAACAAAAAAAAAATTAATAAATATATCAAGATTGCATCGTGGAAAAAGCAATTCTTGGTACCGTAATTTCTCAAAAAATAATACGCATTTCTTTTAAGGTAAATTACAGGTGATAGTAGGGGTGCGTATTATACATAGGTTTAAATGAAAATATTTTTTTTTTGTTATTGATTTATAATAATAAATATGTACTTGTTGTTCCAAAATAAGAAAGATATTATTCCAATTTTTATTTTAAATCCAAAAATAATAATTGTAACATTTTTTTTTGTCAATAAATTTATGTTTATCAGTAACCGTATTTTTTATTTGGCGAAAAAATAAAAAAAAATCTATAAAAAAAGCCAATTTCAAAGAAAAGAGGATATCAAGTTAAGAATTTATTGAAATTTTAATTTTCATCATCATCATCATCATCATCATCATCATCATCATCATCATCATCATCATCAACAACAACAACAACACTTTCTATTATAGAATCAATATCTAAATTGTCATTAAACAAGTCATCAATCACTATATTATCTTCGTCCTGTTCAAAATAATCTTCAACCTCTTCATTCTCTTGTCAAAGGATGTCATCTTCAGAGCCATTCATGGCTGTTATAAGACAATACTTCTTGAAACCTTTTCTTTATAACATCCTCACTGACGGTATCCCAAGATTCCGGAAGCCATTTTACAATAAGTTCCATATCTGTTTTTTTTTTTATTTTTCTCCTATGGCTACCAGCAGTCAAATGAGAAACACCAGAAAACACCCAATAAAATGTTATATGTATCAGGAAAACCGCATGGTAAGTTTTATTTATTAGTATTTATTAGTATTTATTATTTTATTTTAGCCGCTTAGTTTCGATTTTATTCTTGATGTCAAGGTCGACAAAATGTCTTCGGAATTATTTTTTTGTTTTTTTTGACAGAATTTAAAGATGCGTATTATACATAGGGATAGATAATTTTTAAAATTTTTGGATCATTTGTTGAGTGAGTATTTTTTATGGGTACGTATCATTTTCGAGAAATTACGGTATATATACTTCAGACGTTATTATAGTGGATGCTCGTATTTGAAATAGACGCCTTGTTTTTATTTTTACTTTTAACATTGG